GTGTCTTCGATTACTTTTGCCTCCTTGAAACAACAGCTCCGAACCTTTTAACTCCCGTTTTGAGAGACAGCAAAACTCTTCAGCTCAGTCACGGTATTTTATTTTCCATTCCGAGAAGAGTCGTGAATACCACACTGTTGACATATTAATGTTATGATTAGCAACGGCGTGTGACGTAGATTGGTAAAGTCGTTCTGTTGCAAATGGCGTTGGTTACTGTAATCGTAGCCGGCTTGCTGTGTGATATATTATGAGTAGCAACGGCGTGTGTCGTTTGATGAAGATTGGTAGAGTCGTTCTGCCGTAAATGGCGCTGTTTACTCTAAACGTAGCCGTCTTGTTGTGTGAAAGAAAAGAAGTGCCATTTTTATTTCAGAATTTTAGGAGTTGCTCAAGATGGGTTATACGGCTCATCGTCGGTGTAAAAACCTGTGAAGCTCACGAGTGACCTAAAACAAAGACAACAAAACATTATAAACGATAGCGTACAGCATAGTTAGAGCGACTTTCGCTCCGACGAAGGGCTAACGCTCGAAACGTCAGCTTTTGTAATCATTACGGTGGCCAATTTACCATTTCAACTTTGTTGATATATCCAAATTATTTCGTTACTCCCACCGACGCAGCCCCAAACAGTTTCTTTCGAAACTATTACTAACTATGCGTACAGCAAAACAATACCTCATGAAACAAAGAAAACCTCGTCAGGTTTTTACACCGAGGATGACCCGGTTATACTGAAGTGAATTGTTCATATATCTTGCTAAAAATGCAGAGAATTGATCAAGATAAAATTCAAAGTATGCCTCACTACACCCTTCTCGGAGTTCACTACCTTTTTTCTGGCCCCTATGGTTATTTGGGGCAGCTAGTACTCCTTCATATTCTTGTCAATTTATGATTATTTTTATCTGTATTTTTTATGTTGGGCACAAATAATGTTGTTGTTGTTGTTGTTGTTGTTGCTACAGTGCAAAGTTACCTTCGATTACTTTTGTTTGTCAGAGAGAACATCTCCGAAACTTTCCTCTCTTTAGGATAGACATAACCCTTTCGTTATTTAGTAGCTTTAACTCACTTTGAAGAAGAGTTCGTTAGAGCTGAGCACATGGATTGATCGATTACGAAATAACGGCCTGTGATGTGCGGTTTGGCTTGGTAAAATCGTTTTCTTTGCATTAAACGAACAATATTTGCTCTCTATAGGTAATCACGTGATTTCGAGTGCAATTTAGAATAAATAAGCACGAGAAAATTTTCTAACAAAATTGCATGAGACCGTAGGGCGAGTGCAATTTGTGGTCTTTCAAAAAATCTGCTAGTGCTTATTTATTCCAAATTGCACGAGAAAAATCATGCGATTGTGTATTAATAATATAAATGAAAAAATTCGAGGTAGCTTATCATTATTATGCAGAAGAAAAGCGCGCGCATCACGTGCAAAAATAATTTATTCAAACCCTGCAAGTGACATTGTGCGTTCGGTCAAAACAACCGCGCACGATCAAAACAATAAGATAAAATGAAATTTTCACATGTTTAAGGCGCATAAAAGTTCAAAGTCCGGCTAAACAGTTCAAGGAATTGTTCATTGAGTTTGGTAATTCTGTGAGTTTGTTTGACCAATCAAAATGTTCGGTTTGTTAGTTTCTTTGCACTGAATTAACCATCCTCTGCACTGAATTAGCCATCCTCTGCACTGAATTAATTCTCTTCTGCACTGAATTACCTGAAAACTGCATTTATCTTGTCTAATCAGAACTGAGTAGTTTTTCATGTATATTATTACAGATCAAACATTGCGATCTTCATCAAAAATGAGAGCATCGCGAGAACAAGAGTAATTCCTTTTCCCTTCCTTCATCTAATCAAGGTCATGTCAGCCAGTCTGGACAGAAGACATGCTATTTGGCACGTTTATCGATTATCCTATGATTTCCAGAACATTCTTGATTAGTCCCTTGGGGAAGTTCTAGTGGTTTCGACATGAGTACGTGACGTTTATTTATAGAAACTCGAGTTGTTTACCGTAAATTCTGGAAAATTCTATGATGTAATGTTACTAAATAGTCGTGTTGTAAATCTGTAGAATCTTCTAGAAAGATTGTAAGGAACTATATGAGAAGGTGCAGTAGGTTGTTGCGTTTAGACGAAAAAGAGGAAAAAGAAGAAAAAGAAGAGAAAAAGATAAAGGAAATAAAGGAGTTAGCGAAAACAATTCATTTTAAGGTTTATCACGAAACCAAGGCTAAAAGGAGGAAAAGCATAAAATCTCTGACTAGACCAGCTAATACTAAAAGCATCAACAGCTGATGCACCTGGCTCTGGATGCCAAGAAAGAAACTGATCTAATTTAGCATTCAGTCTAGA